TTTTTGACACAACTATATTATTTGAAATTATTCATGTTTCACTTGCTGAAAATCAAAAAGAAGCAAATTTTATACTTAAAGTAGCATTTATTATTGCCAAAAATGTGTGCAATAGAAATGCTACCATTAAGAGTACTGACCCCATGCTGAATGATAGTTTTCAAATAATTTTTAAGCTGGATTGAACTGAACTATTGACTGCAGCTTTTTGTGCTATTTCCTCATTATCTTAGAGGGATTCATGCAAGACTGCTTTGTCTCCTACACAATTTCTTCTACTTTAGAAACAAAGGGAAATTGTCTGATACTAAAGATGTATAAAATGTTTCACGCATGATATAGCCATCTTTAGGAGGCCAGTGCCCACACTGAGAGGCATGTTTTGGCATGATGGATTGTGAATAGCAAACAAGAGTTGTTTTGTTTCAGTTAGAAATGATTGGGGGGGGGGGGAAGAGGATGGGACATGACAGGTACCCTGGCACCTGAAGGGAAGGCAAAAGGCAAACCAGTGCTACATGCCATTCTGGAATGTCAACAATGGCAAAGGAGAAGAAGGTGCTAGGAAAATGGGAGCAAGGGCCACTGGTATATGACCCACTAGAACACTGGTGGTGGCTTAAAGGGAAAGCACTGGGGGAAAGGGTGGCACAGATCTCCTCTTTCCCTTCCTCTCTTTGGCTTTTCCCAGTATGATATGGCTTACTGAGAAGCATTGAGGCAGAGGAAGGGAAAGAGGAGTAATACATGCCATTTCACCCTACTTGACCCACTTGGATTTTGTTCCATCTGAAACCCAGAATAACCAAAGCATTCTGGGTTTGGGGTTCTGCTAAACTGTGGCTGATATGGAACAAGACATTGGGAATACAGCAGATGGTTTAAAACATTCTTCCTATTTCATGTACACCCCTACCTAATATGGAGAAATCAATAGATACATCTCATAATTTACATTCCTAAAAAGGTCATTTTTTTTTCCTGGAGCACCTAATTACATATGTTTAAATAACATTATTTATTAAGAAACAGATGTCATGTTTTGAAATCTAAAATCACTTTCATAACTTCAAAAAAAGATGTTACTTGAGTTTTTTTAAACTACAGTATTTGCTTTTTTCCTTTTTTACTTGCTGCCTCTTGTATTTGCAGAACATAATTAACAGAGTTTTGCCATATTTGATAATCATCAGTTTATGTATGTAGACACATACATATCTTTACGTATGTATGTACACAAGTATATACAATCTCTGTATGAAAACTACTGAGGCATTACATTTCACACCACTGAGGTAGTACTTTCAGGATTAATACGCATTAGTCGTGAAACATTCCTCAGATCCTGCAACTGCTTAGCAGGCTTTCCAACACCTTCCTCAAATCTTTTTTCCACAACAGGAAGGACAGTTTCATAAAGGAAAGATGCATTTTGCCTGATGAATGCTTTCTTCTCAGGATCCTGTTCACACCGTAAACTGTAATCAACATGTTGGATGGCCACAAGGATGATCTCCATCAGACTTTCTAGCAGGACCATATGCAGCTCAGGGAAGTACAACTTGAGAGCGTCCTCCAAGAAAGCCATGGTCTGTTTTGTGAAAGCCACAACAGTGTAGCTAAGATTCACCCAGCAATCATCTCCAGTGTACTGATCAAAATTGGTCACACCACAGCTCCTCATTTCCTCTCTAAGCTTTCCTAAGGCTTCAGGGGTCATCAGGTTCATTCTCCGCCACATCTCTTCAGAGTTGCGATGTTTTGTGGCCTCAATTATGATGTCTTTGTAGCTCTGCAGAGCCCCTTTGATATCCTTTACTAGTAGGGCATGAATAATGAAGGTCAAATCCAGACCAATATCGCCAAGTTGCTTACAATGTTCCTTTGCCACCTTCAACGACAAATGACATTAATTAAATCTAAAGATGTTGCACAATGCAGAAATGGTAAAATAATCTTCCTATTGAAAACATTAGAGAACACTGAAACATAGCTTTAAACCAATCTCTGCATAGTATTTCAGGATCAGTAATAGATAATTGTCTAATCTAGGGATGCTAACAGCCACATTTCTTGGAAGACTTTGTTGCCAAAAGTCAGTGAGGGATGTTAATACCTATTACATATATAATAGGCAGAAAGATGAAGGGAATGATTGGAAGGAAAGTTACTAATACCAAATATAATTTGAATTCAGAAAGCAGCTCTCTTCTTCCAGATTTCAAATACCTCAAAGTTTGTATAAAGCTCAAAAGAGGCTTTGTGACATTCAATAAATATGATTAGACATTGCCTGACTCCACTTCAAGATGCATTATTTCTTACAAATTTAACCTGTGAGAGGAAGAATGGAATCTATGAACAGTTTAAGGCTTTCATTGTCCCACCTAATGTTAAAGACAATACAGACCTAATCCACGTAACACTGTTCATGTTAAAATTGAAGTAAAAATAACAAGTTTGCAGTAACATTAATTTAAAACATATAACTGAAACTTATTTCATACATTTAAAAGAATTGTATTCTCCAGTAATTTAAATATCCCTAATGTTAATGCTAATATGAAATAAAACTGGATAAAAAACAAGTTTCATTTCTATTACTCCCACCATTCAGGTAACAGAAAAGTCTATTCCATTTCAGTCTTTTCAGAGATAAAAGATAATTAAAAACTAACAGCAGATGGCATGAGCGTGTATCTTGTTTGGGACACTAAAAAAAGCAACATAAGATTATACAGAGGCTCATCCTTTGTTTTTAAAGCAAAATGTGCTTTTTCAGGTAAGACAGGATCTGTGGTTAAGATCTACAGCTGCGCTGCAGAGGCAGTGCATATGACTAACCTGTATTTTTCAACTACTAAGAGGGTGAGTCTGTTTACTGCTAGCAGAACTGGAAATGAAAATGTTGCTGCCTTCCAGACCTTTTACCAATTGGTCATAGGCATTTTGTTTTGTGTAACAAACAAGATGGCTGTATGTGTATTTCTGCTCTCCCGTGTTATGCCTGGGTGTGTATCTGCATGAGGAAGCCCCAGCAGAAACTCCGTGCCATTGATGTGACTAGATGGGAGAAGGATTTAGAGCTGAGCAGCCACCACATTCCAAAACACAGCCCAAATACCTCTCCCACAGGGATGCAATGGCAGACTTTTTAAAGGTTTTTACTCCATTCTCTCTTTACTTACCTTTACACATTCAGCCGCAGTAGATAAACTCTCCTTACTATCAAACACCTGTTTGCTAAATGCATCTACAAACATCCGCATGGTAGACCGGGCCCAGACCACAAAAGCCGAGTAACACCCACTGTTTCCAGCAAAGTCTGTCTCAAACTCTCTTGCAGTCTCTAACAGGCTGGTGAAGAAGACGTGACAAAGTTTGTGAATGTACAGCAAGGTGGCACCCTCAATGCGCAACTGACGGATGGCTGTGTGAACAGCAGCTTCCCTATTTTTCAAGAAAAGTTCACATGCCTTCGTTGACTGGCCCAAGCGAATGAGCTGAGAAACAGCTCGCCGGGTAGCTCTGGGCCCTCCTCGGAGAGACCTATCTGGAGACAATTCAAACACAAGGACCTCAGTGAGCTGTCGGACCCTTTCATCCACCTTAGCTCGCAACTCTCTAACCACCTGGGTCATAGGTTTGTCACTCAGATATTCCTTCAGCTTATCTAACAAATCAACCGCCCCTTCAAAGTCTCTCTGAGCAATGCAGACATCCAAGTCTTCCGGCAGTTCCTGAATCCATTCTAAAGACAGATCCACCGTTTCTTCTTCTGGCGTTGCCTTGTCTTCCTCCTCCGCCTCCTCTTCCTCGTCTACCTCAAACGGATTAGTAGTCTCAGCAGGCATCGGGAGAGCCCGCGTTGGGACCTCCTGCTCCAGCCTCCGTTTCTCACTGAGAGCTCGGTTTCTTTTGGCCTCCTCCAGCACTTCCAACCACTCTTTCTTGATCTTGGCATTCTCGGCTTGGAAGATGCGACTCTCGGGGAACATCAGCAACTTGAACATATCCTTCATGGGGGGGTTGTCCTTGACATTAACCACAGCCAGCCCATCGAGCGGGTAGAGGGCATCGTAACGGTACATGCCCCGCCGGTTGGGCAGCCACGCGGCCACCAGCAGGCAGTCGTTCATAAGGAAAGCGTGGACTTTCTGGATCTGCCCCATGTGGTCAGCATCGTACTCCACCAGGTCCCCGTTGTACACCAGGTACTTGCCAGGGCTCTCCAGCAGGTCCCGACAGCCCTCCACTTTCTCCAGGAGGGTGGTGAGAGTTCGCTGTCGGCCTTCCTCGTTGGCCGAGGCGTCCTTGCTGGCCGAGAGAGGCAGGAAAGGGTTCGCGTGAGGGTCGGTGGCGGCAGCTGCAGCTCGCCGGGCTCCCACGACAGCCGGGTCTTCTCGCTCGCCGACATTGGCCTGCAGCAACAGGGCCTGGGTGACGGTTTCCATGATGCCTTTCTGCTCGGTGAGGATGTGGCTGAGCTGGTACATCTCGCTCTCCAGGTAGCTGATCTCGCGGGCCGTCTCGATGAACTGCCGGTAGTTCTGGTAGACGTTGCGCTTGAGGCTCTGCGCCGTCTCCTCGCTCAGCGCCTGAATGCGCTGCCGGTGCTCTTGCAGGTCCCGGTCCCCATCCGACTGCTGGGACAGTTGCTTCACGTACTCTTCCGCCGCGTAACTCCCGGACTCCAGTTGCCGTCGCAGACGGCTAGCGCCACCGACTGCGGCCACCTCCCCGAGAGACACCGCCATGTCTGAGCTGGAGCAGCGGGAGACACAAAAGAGCGGAAACGAAAGAGCGTCCGCGCCGGAGAAAGAGCCGCTCCCGACGAGCTTCAGGCGAGAAGAGCCTGCGGGAAACGTAAAACGTCACGGAACGGCGACAAGTCGCTCTCCGTTTTCGCGCATGAGCATAAATGTATCTTGTAGAGCGGGCTTTACCTCCGGATGTTTGGAGAGGTGCGCAAGCGCTTTGCAGCGTCGAAGAACGGGGCTTAGCGCATGCGCCAGGTTCTTGCGAAGCCGCTTCCGGCCGATGGACGGTGGTTGAGGATAGTTTGGTGTATCGCTTCTTGGAGGAACGATGGACGAGGACCTTTTGCTGGCCCTGCAGTTGCAGGAGGAGTGGGAAGCGGAGGACGAGGAGGTGCGGCTTCAGTCGATCTCCTCGGATCCTCCGCGGCCATTCCCGCTGATGGACGATGCCTGGGAGTTGCTGGACCCCAACCCCGACGTGCGAGGCCTCTTTCTGCAGTTCAACGAGACCCTCTTCTGGGGGCGCCTGGCGGCGGTGGAAGTAAAATGGAGCCCGCGCATGACCCTGTACGCCGAAGGAAGAGCGAGCGAGGGAGGGAGAGAGGGAGGAGACAGTTGGTGGGACTGCCGCTCGTAGAGTTCCCTGCTGTTTTGCCGTCCTTGGAATGGTAGTGCGGAGAATATCGGGAGGAAAGGCTGCTCTGCGGGGCTCGGGTGTCAAGAAAGGGGCCTTTAGAGCTGCTCCCATTGTCCCACCTTAAAAAAAATAAAATAGCACATCTACCCATTAAGAATTTATAAAATGTAGTCTGATGATGGTTTGATGGCTTAAGTTACAACCTTGATGTTTCGTTCTGATCGTCAGAGCTGATCCTGGTAAGCTTTCCTAGTGAGCCAAAAAGCGTGCCTTACCTGACAACCAAGCAGGGCAGGCATAATCAGAGACATATACTGGTCAAGGTTAATGATAGCTGTAAAATTTTTGTTCTTGAATCTCGGGATTTTGAGCTACCACAAACCAGTAGGATGAGGTAAAAGTGTGAACTATGCTAATTCAGATTGAGATTAAATACTCTTCTATTTCTCCTTCTTGAACAATTGTCCTCTTGCTACCATAGAAAACTAGTAGATCACAATGGATAACATTCTGCTTTGGTAGATTTTTGCTCTTGGGAAACAAAAATGGACAGCTTCTGCTTTGCCTTCTAGGTGCGCTGGAGTTTGCTGCTATGAAGGTCATGGTGGAATGTGCTCCATCCGACTAAGTGAACCACTTTTAAAATTACGGCCAAGGAAGGATCTCGTGGAGGTATTGCAAGATGGAATTCTTTCTACAAATTTCTTGCAGCCTAACGTGGTTGAATGCATATATAAACTGAGGAATATATTTTGTCAGTAACAAATCAGCTCTTGAAATATGCTTAATAATATAAGAATAATAGTAAGAGATCTAAATGTGGCAGGTAATCATATGAATAGCCAGGTCTTTTATATGAATAGAGCACTTTGATTGATGCCTTAGTGCTCTGTGGTTGCAGAAGTTCAGTACTATATATATGTAATAAAGTACTTTTTCCTAGGAAGTAGGAAAACTCATTTGCTTTAAAGACAATGTTTTAATTCCACAAAGATAGAAGAAACAATGAGTTCTGTATTATAAAAATACCAGGGAGCTCCAATGTAGCTGTATGTGCCTTATTTCTGATCTATAATATTTTATTTGGGATAAGAAATGTCATATATTCAAAATATATGGTTTACTTCTCAGACTTTTTCTTTCTCATTATAGCATAATAGTTATTTTGGCCAAGGTCTTCTCTTAGTTATTGGATTCCAAACAAGGAGATATGAAATTCTATTATTATGAGGACAGAGATTCTCTGGTCCATGGCCAGTTAGCCAAGACATCTGTCTTGGTTTTCATGAGATCTGTTCTTTCTTCCATGATTGTTTTGTGAGAGAGAAGCAAACTAACTTTCTTAAGTTCTTTGGCTTAGGTCATTAATGGGTCAAGAAAAGTTCAATAGATCTATTTGCTTGGTAACTACAGACAGTTTTACATAACTGTGAAATAAATGCAAAATACCAACAGTTTTACGAATTCTCATTGTAAGTTCATTTGTACAAACCTGAATTGTAAGTACCACATTTCAAAATTCAGTTCATATTTTTCTTACCATAGGGAACATAAACTGAAATTGATGAATTTCTTTCCAAAATATGGATATGCAATTGTCTTTGTTAGAAAATGGATACTTAAGTAATCTTATCAATTTCAGACTCTCCTACATGAAATGATTCATGCCTTGTTGTTTGTTACTAATAATGACAAGGATCGTGAGTCCCACGGTCCAGAGTTCTGCAAACATATGCACCGGATAAATCGCTTAACAGGAGCCAATATTACGGTAAAGGCTTTTTGTGATATATAGATTCATTTTCATTCTTCAACACAGAATAAGACTGCATGATGAGATGGCAAGCCAGTTCACGACAGGATGGTATACTCTAGCAGAGTTGATATTTTCAGCCAATCCTCATAGTTCTATTCTTAGCACATGTAGTTTTATCTTTTGGGTTGAGGGCAACTCGTCAAAGTGAAAACATTAAGCTATAATGATCAGTAAATATGCTCTGTGTTACTACAGATTAATCTGAGTGTATCTAAAAAAAAAAAATTGAAAAAATGAGTGAAAATGGAACTGTAGAGAAAAAAAAGCATGAAGCTTATATAAAAAAGTGTTAGAAGATCAATAAATCTCTCTGAATGAATGGAAAAATATTTCACATATTTGTTGGGTATAATAGCAGTATGTGTAAATATAAAAAGTCTGGATATAATAGTAACATGCTGAATTGAAACAAATACTATAAATTACATAAAATAAAATTTTACACTTGATTTTTTTTCTTTGGATTAGTGCCCAAGGGAAAAAAGGTGAAAGTTTAAAAAAATGGTAAGATAACATAAATAGGTGGAGTAATTGGAAAAAATATTTGAATGTAGCTTGGTTAATTGTTTGTCTGTGTGAGTTGTTTCAAACAAGCGTGAAAACTGATTCTGCCTAACAATGGGAAGAATATGATTATTAATCCATATACAAAAGTTAGTTGTTGGTTGGTCATATGAAGTTAGTACCGATGTATTTTTCTTGTATGAGAACTTGAATGATGTATGTTACTCTTGACGAATCTATCTTTTCTTTTATGAATACTGAGAGCATTTGCACCAAGACAAATTTCTTATGTGTCCAATCACACTTGGCCAATAAAGAATTCTATCTATCAATGTTAAACAGACTGTATGTGGCAGCAAGGGGTTGGAGCTGAAAATCAAAGATAAAGACATCTTTGTTGGACAGGTGAAATAGTTGAAATAATGGCTAGTTATAATGTATATAAAATACTGAAAAACTAGAGCAAGAATGTGTACGTTCATAAATGTTTACTGAAAATGGATAGACATGTAATACATGCAAATGTCTGTAGAAACACATGTATTCTATAAAAAGGAATGAATGTTGAAGAAGTGAAAAATAGCTATATTCAACAGTGTGCTTTTGTCCATGTTAGCCATGTGAAAGTAAGGAGTTGGGTATACAGGAAAAACAAAAAAAGTAGTGAGAGTAGGAAAATTAGCCTTCTGGACAATAGATTAAGGTCAGGAATGTATGGGTGATTAATTTATATGGACCAACATTGCATCAGTAGTATAAAAGTATACTGAAATAGTTTCCTTATGTTAAAAAATGCATGTAATTGGTTTGGAAAACAAATATATGAAGGAAGAAGTGAGTACACACAGAGAAAGTGGAACATTGGATGGAGTGGTCAGACCCTCTTATACCTTTAATTTGTTTGATTTACTGTTTCTCACTCCTTTTCTGCACTCTGAATATCTGAATTACTGCTTACCCTGAAAGGGAATATAGTAGCATGATAGATGTATATGTATTTATATAAAATGAAAGTTGTATTGTACACTTTTCCCTCTTTGGATTAATTTCAGATCTATCATGAATTTCATGATGAGGTGGATTTCTATCGTCAGCACTGGTGGCGGTGTAATGGGCCATGTCGAAATAGGAAGCCTTATTATGGCTATGTAAAACGTGTAATGAATAGGGCGCCATCTGCCAATGACTATTGGTGGGCAGAGCACCAAAAGAGCTGTGGGGGAACATATACCAAGGTCAGAGAGCCCGACAACAGCTCCAAGAAATGCAAGAAGAAGAACGATGAGCAGGCAAAAATCCTAGATGATAGTTCACGTATGTACCTTTTGTTATTTACCAACTATGTAACTCAATTCTGTAAATCTAAATGAAAAGAGTAATTAGAAAGCTACTTAATTTTTTCTCAATACTGCTGATTCATATTTTCAAGTAAATAGAATTGTGTTCAGTATAAAAGCAAAAAGCACTGAATACTGATTTTCTAGATGAGGGTGATTTGAGATTAATTTGAATTAATGATTCGGATCCTAAAAGCAGTTGGAACAGAATGAAGTTTTCCATAAGAGACTTTCTCAATTCCTCAACTCCAACTATTAAAATGGCTTACCATCCCAGAATCCTTAAATAGGTTTAAGGCTTTTGTGTGCATGTATGCCTTAAAGTCAATCTTGATTCCTGGAACTGCCTGGACAAATCCTTGTAGTTTTCTTGGCATTATTTTCAGAAATGCTTTGCCATTGTTTTCTTCTTAGATCTGAGAGAGAACTAGGCCTAAAGTCACCCAGCTGGCTTCATGCCTAAGGTGGGATTCATGGTTTTTAGTCTTGTGTTTTAACCACTATATAAGACTGCTTCAGGGGTGGGCTGCTTGGGGTTTGCAGGGGTTCGGGAGATCCTCCAGCTAAGATTTTGCACAGTTTCGAGAATCCCCAAATCCCCTGGCTGGCCCTACCCACGACTCCCCTCCCAGGAGTCTCCACATGGCCTCTTTTGGATGCAGGTAAGTGCAGGGCGCCCCCAGAGACTCAGGGAAGGCAAAAACAGGCCTCCCGGAAGTTCGGGAAGGCCAGAAACAAGCCCATTTCTGGCTTCCAGCAAGCCTCCGGAGCCCGGGAAGGGCAAAAATGCCCTCCCCCTGGCCATGATGCTGGAGGCTGACTAGGCCATGTGGCCACCCAGCAACCGGGCAGAGAACCTGTTGCTAAAATGTTTTAAGCCCAGCCCTGGAATGCTTCTCTAAAATAAAAATAGAAAAAAACATCCATGTAAATTTAAAATTTAGCTGCTTGAGCTCATATTCCATATTGGTTTTGCAGAATTCTCACTCTACAAATGCAATTTTATGACTGATACATCAAAATATTCTGGAAACATTTCAAGCTTTCTCTCCCTCCCTCCCTTCCAATAAATCCACTAAGTTCATTTTGCAATGGGCATTCATCAGTACATGTAAATATATTGAGTAAAAAGCATTTGTAATAGCTGATGTTTATTTGAACTAAAAGATCTTCTGGTGTAATTTCAGGAAAAGCTCGTGGAAGCAGCATACAGAGCATAATACCCTTTAGTGGGAAAGGATATATCCTTGGAGGAAAAAGAAGTGAATCATCATTAGAGGGAGCTGTAAGTCCAAGCATTAAGAGCAGACAACTGATCCAGTCACAGTATCATTCATCTGCTGATTCATCTAGGTCAAATCCTAAAAATGAAATCAAATTTGAGCAAAATGTTTCCTGCACAACTGTTTCCTCTCTGTTTTCTCAAAACAGTCCTGAAAACAGCTCTGCTTCTACTATCACATTTCCTAGATTTTCAGTTGCTAACCGTAAGGTTTATACTAATGTTAATGGCTCACCAGTTAAAAATATTTCTTTGGGTGGAAAAAGGTCAGAATCAAATTCTACAAAGACTCTAAGAGATATACTTCACAAAGGGACTCCAGAAAACACAATTTCTAAATCAGCTACATTGACTCCAAGATCCCAGTCACCATCCCAGAGAAACAGCAACACCCAGACTGGTGGCCCAGCAAAACGAGCCAGAATGGAAGATTCAGTTACGTTTGTCAACTATTTTTTAAAGAAAGGAGAACTCAAGAAGGAGACTAGTTCTGCTGTGAATAGTACAGCCAAACCGGCAATCTCAGAAACATCCACTAGTGACCAAAATAGAAACGTATGTTGCCCCGTCTGTCAATCTGAAGTTTTGGAAACCAAAATCAATGAACACTTAGACCTCTGCCTCTCAAAAAACTTTTAATGTGATTTTAATCTAAAGCTGCTTTGCTCAAGATTTCTGTATCTTTATGCATTTATGCACTTTCTCTGTTTTATGGAGAAAAGTTTATATTAGATTTAGTTTTTGTGTACCCTGAGTTTGAAAGCTTTTTCTCAGTACCTAGATGCTAGTAACATCGTTAACACTGAATGCAACATAGCCTTGAAAAAAGTGTCTCTAAGAGACTGTCTCATCAGTTCTACAATGATTTATCTGATATTTAACAAAAGGATATGTCTAAGGTAAGAAAAATCATTTGCTATTGTTACATTTATTGTTTGGTTAGTTTGGTTAGATGTTTAAATGGAGAATATAGTTTGAATATATGCATTTATTGTATAAGATAAGGGTCCCCAACCTGTGGTCTGCGGCCCCCAGCCTAATCGCCACTGGGCCACGTGAGGGGCCAGCCAGTGCATGTACAAATGGCCCCACTCACACAAGCCTCGTCGTGTGAGCACCCAGTTTTGCGAGCCTTGTGGGTGCTCATGGCTCCTCTTGTGTAAGCCTCATCGTAGGCTTTTGTGCCCATCATATGAGCATCAGTGCCCGCAGCCCCACTTGAGCAAGCGTCGCCACAAACATCACAGGTGCTATGCACACATGTGCATGCCCCTCCCACGAAACCATTCCCTTTATCCCCTCCCCCTGCTCTGGGCCACCAATCCGAAAAGGTTGGGGAACTCTGGTGTAAGAGATAGACATGAGATTGTTATTCCCTGAACTTGAAAGCTGATGTCATATAGTAAAGAATACTGCTACTTTTCTGTTTACACCTAAAGAGATGGCTCACCAAGTGTTTGCTTTAAAATTATGTCTGTTTTTTATCACCCAATTTATAGATTTTGGCTGGATTAACAAAGTTTTCTATTGTGTTCAGAAGAGTTAGACTGATTATATCTTGTCCTATGCAATTTTTGATCAGGTAGATGTTTTTCTAAACCATAAACACATTGGGAAGGCTGTTATACTACCATTTTATTTATAAAGTGCCTATTAGAGTGATGTATGCCTATTTGTTAATAACTTTTGAAATTTATTTCCTCTGAGATGGAAATATATTCTTGCACACAACACAGTTGATTGTCAGCCATTTGTACAATTAAAAAGCTTTTGTTGCTGTTGTTTATGTGTACACCTTTATGACACAACCGGTATCAAAAAAATTATTCAAAATGCACAAAGCAATCTTGAGAAGAGAATGCATTGAAATAATAGGCAATATAAATTACTTCTATTGTGGTTATGCTTCATATTTATACATGATGATGTTGACAGATTTACGTTTGATTGGGAAATGTGACTTTGATGCCATCAAGATCAACTTTAGATGTAAGATGCAAGAAGCTTGTACATAATCATATTCATCTTCAGAATTGGATGATGGAATGAGAGGAAGGAACTAGATAAAAGGAAATTTGGAGAATCAAGAGAACCAATTGTCCAAGTTGCATAGAAATAATGTAAAACCATAAGATCAACTAAAACATACACCAGTTGTTCAAAGGGTACATCAAATCAGTGTAGTGAAAGACTATAAAAGACATTTCCATTCAAAAATAAAAATATGGAAGACAATCAGAAAATCTGCCAAGACAAATTTGACAATTGTGTTCACACATCATGGATTACGCTCTATTAAATAAGCTACATTTTAGCTGCATTCAGATACATCAGAGCTATCATAGGTACAAAGAAACAAATCTTTAAAGCAGGGGTGTTAAACTGAAGGCCCGGGGACCAGTTCCAGAAAC